GTCTTGCTAGTGTTATTATTAGTTATAGTATATACTAGCTTGGTTAAGGTATTTCTAAATATGCTTCTAGTATTCCTAATAGTGTTTTTACTCTGTTAATTATAAGGATATTCTTTTAGTATTGCTCTTTAAAGTTAGGTATTAGTATTTAAAAGAATTGCTTTACTAGTTCCTTATACTAGTCTGCTATATTATTATTAACTTTTTATTAAATTTATTATAGTTTCTCTATAAGCAGCGTTCTTAGTAAGTTTTTTCTAAAAGTCTTAGAGGTTAGTTATCCCTATAGATATATTAGTATAACTAGGGGCACCAGGGCTAGTAGTACTAGGTCTTAGGCTATAAATTCCTTTTTTCTTTCTTTACTTTCTTAATCCCTATAATACTAAGCTAAGGGTTAATAGCTATGGTTAGTTATTATAGGAGCGATAGGAGGTTACTCCTAGCTCCTTCTATATTATTACAGTAACCTTAAGCTAGTTAGGGGTTATTATTATTTCTGTTTCTATTATATTTCTTTAATAAACTTTATAGCATTATACTAAATTATATGTCCTTTTTCTATAATCTTAAGGTCTATAAAAGTTACTTTATATTTTATATTTATAGTTAGGTTTTCTTTCCCTAGGAATTTCTTATAAAATTATATATTATATACTTATATTACCTTCTGTTCTTTAGGTATCTAGATCTTATAAATATAACTATAGTTACTTTCTATCCTAATAAGCCTTCCTTTCTTTACTCTTAGTATTATCTTTTTACTTCTTACCCTCTATTTAGGTAGAATATATATATAGGCTATATATCCCTAAGTATAGATATAGTATAGAAATAGCTAGTATAGTATATTAATTAACTTATATATTGCCTATAGGGGAGATTTAAAGCTTAGTATTATCTTATTAGCAGTCTATTATTAATATATATACTGGCTTCTATAAATAGCAATTAAAGGAATTCTAGAAGTCCTATTTTTATATAGATTGCTTTTACTAATTCTATAAAAAGTTATCCTATATATTTAATCTTCCTATTCTGCTTTAAGTTATATAGTATAGAGTATCTGCAGATTACTCCTTTACTTACTAGCTATTGTTATAGTTCCTTTATCTTAAACTCTTTAGTATTATTAAAGCCTATAGTCTGGACCTTAAGGCTATTTATATATAATTTAACTCCCTTTTTCTATACCCTAAGGCATTAGATTACCTTTAATTTCTTCTTTAAAAAGAATATCTAATAGTATCCTATATATATATTAATACTATAAAGTATATAATAATAGCCTTTATATACTTTAAGCTTATACTTAATTAAGTCCTAGAAAATATACTCTAGGAATTTTAATGCTTTATATAAGTATAACTTTTCTTTTATAGTATCTATCTTTACTAGTTAATAGGTCTTACAGTAAAAGTCCTTTATTGTATTTATATTAATCTGTATTCCTGTATTATAATATACTTATAGGACTCTTTCTGCACTTATATAACTAAGTCTATAGTATATTAGTCTGTATTTAACGGTTTTCTTTTTAGTATTTAGAGATATTATAAAGAAGTTATAATATACCTAACGTTTCTAGTATTTTAGTATAGTAATGTTTTGCTTTTACTTAATATTTATAATAGCCTTATTGCCTTTAAGGAAGATAAGTTAATTTAATTTCCTATTAAGGATTATACCTTTATTATATAGTAATTCTAGGCTAAGTATATTTATAGCTACTTTAGGACTATATAGGGCTTTAATTCTTAGTTCCTTGTAATTTATACTATAGTTTATACTAATAGTAACTTATCTATAGCCTTTTATAGGAAGTATACTACTATTACTAGTTACTATTTCCTCTTTCTCTTATATACTAACCAGGTATATAAACTACTTCTTATTATTAAAGCTATATATTAAATACCTAGTATCTATAATTATAGTATCCTTTATTATATTTAGGTTAATTACTATTATACTTATAGTTCTTTTTTATAGTTAGGTACCTTTATAAGAATACTTAGTTACTTTTTTATTTTCCTTATAGTATTTAAAAGGCTTAAGTACTATTAATTCCTTTAGTGCATTTATGCCTAGAATAAGGTTATACTTAAAGATATTATAATTATTATTAGTAGCAACGCTTAGTTTTCTGTATATTATTATTAGGATTAATATTGCCCTAAATTAGCTAGCCTGCATTATATCAGGGCTACCTTTAGTTTAAGAACTTTTACTTCTCTTTCCCCTTACTTATAGTAATTATAATTTAGGATAAGTTATCTAGCACCCCTTGGCCTTATGGTTAGAGTCAGGGTACAATAAGCACTGCACTTCTTTATTATTATCTTTAAATTTATCTTTACTATTTATTTTCTCTTTCTTTTTTCTTTTATTATTTTATTTATTTAGCTTATTGCCTTTTAAGAAAGACATTATTAAGGTTTCTAGTAACTTCTTTATATTTACTTAGCTACTAAGGTATTTTATAAAGTTATCTTTCGTTATAACCCTTCCCCTCTTAATATTATAGTCCTAGTTATTAAACTAGTCTAGGTTAGACTTTTTAATGCCTTTAAGAGCTATTATAAATAATATACTCTTAGGCATTATTAGTTTTTTAGTAATAATTTACTTTTAGGTCTTATTAAGCTTATTAACGTAGTTATTAAGGGATTTAAAGTTCTCTTTATTTAGTTTAATAAATATTAAAATAAGCTAGTAAAAATCCTTTTTTAGTGCTTTTTATACTATAGCCTTAATAGATCTTTATATTTCTTTTATAGTTATTATTCTTAACTATCCTAATCTTTAGAGCTTTATAAGGACTAATAGGTTAATTAACTAAAGTATAATTGTCTTTATATTTAAGTTTTTCTATTTAAACTTTACTACTGCTTTCTTATCTGCATTAGCAGTAATTATTACTTTAGGATTAATATAGTACTTTAATCCTATTGCCTTTAAGTTAATCTATATAAAGGTAGACTATTCTTTATAGTTATTAGCTTCCTTAAGCTTTGTAATTAAGCCTATACTATATATAATTTTTCCCATTGCTATTTTACACTTCTGTATTTACTAGTAATAGTAATATAGTAAATTTATAGTATTAGGCTCTTTAGCTTAATATACTCTATAAATAGCTTCTATAGTTACTATCCTTTAGCTTATAGCTCCTTATAAAGGTTTCCTATAAATTGCTTTACTTATACCTTTACTAATATATTATATACTAATTGTAAATAGCCTTAGTTTAAAGGAATATAGTTTATAATAATATAGCTAAACCTTAAGCAAGAATGTAATATATTTAGCTAATAGTATAATGGTTTAAAGTTAGTTTAGTAGCCTTTTATTTAATAATTATAAAAAGGTAACTGCCTTTACTAGGAAATGTTTATTACTTAACTTTTTTATTTTACCTTTAATAATATATTAAGGTTATTATAGTACTGTTTAATCTAGGGAATTAGTAATTCCTTATTAAGTAAAACTATATAAACTAGGTTACTATAGCTCTTAAAGTACTTAGAAAACCCTCTAGTACTAGGTTAATAAGTAAATAAACTACTATAACTAATAATATATTAAAAAGGTTATTTCTTTTTATAGATTTTTTACTATTTAGATTATTAAAAGCTTAAGTTTTAGTATTATTAGTAATTTTTACTTCTTTAGCTTAAATAGCTATGTAATTAAAGTTATTATAAAGTAAGGTAATGTAAGGGGTTAGGGTAATTAGCGCTAGGCTTTTAAAGGATTAATTTGCCCTGCTTTTTCTTTAAGGTTATGGTTTAATTTTACCTTTTTATATTTTTATAATTTTTTTTTTAATTATACTAAGGTAACGTAGCCTTAAGCTTTTTATATAAAGTAACTGCTTAATGTATAACCTTTAATAGTTTAGTTTAAGGTATAAAATGCACTTATTAATAAATGTTTATAGGTTTATTATTAAGCCTAACTAGTTATAACCTTATTTTTTAGCAAATTAAGGCATTATTAGCCTTAATAATGCTAGTTTTTGTTATTTTTAGGGGATATAGGGCACTTTAGGCACTTAGTTCTCTCCCTATAAGGGGTTTTTTAGTAGCTTAACCTTTATAATAGGGTATTTTTACCTTCTAAATTTAATAGTAATAGCTAAAATCCCTTTAATTATATAGCAGATATGCGCGTAAGGGGCTTATAACCTGTTAAGAGGGATGTGTGTGTATTAACTGTGGCTAACTAAGGTCTCGGGCCGGGAGGTCCGGCTGATATACAAGGTAGGTGCCTCAGGCACCTTCAACAGCTACCACCTGGGGCCAATTGCATCATCTTGGGGGGATGCTATCCAGTCTCGGCAGTATCCTGTGGACTACTACATGCCATCTGGAAGTGATTCATGTTCTTAGTGACAAATACGGGATACCCTGTCTCATGGAAGCCTCCACGCAATACGCACACGAATGCGTTCATGTTTTGGCTCGGACTGAGAAAACAACAAGTCAATGTGGTCGGCCGGAAATAGAAACAGATTCAACCGCGCGCCTCAAGATCTCACAGTGGGTCTTCGGTTTCAGGGGAATAAACTAACCGGCATTATGTACGTGTGGAGTTTAGCGTGACGGGAAAGCGAGCGAGTAAACGAGTTTTGCTTAACAGGCTTCACTGATGAAGTAGTTTGAGGCTAAGTAGCGCTTGGAATTTTGCAAGGGAAATACCTTATAGGCATACTCAATTTTCTCTTTATATTAAAGGAGACCTGTCTGTTTAAAATAGCTTTAACAAGTTATCTATTACCTTCAATCATCCTCAGTTATTCTCAATTACTATTCTTTCTTTATTACGCCTACGTTCATTTCAGGCTCAAGAATCTTTTGGACATCTTACATTACCTTTGCTTTTGGATCCTCATACTCTTTGTTCCTAAGCCTTCCTTGCGTGGTTGTTCTATGAAACATTTTGCTCGCTTCATTTCGTTACCCAACTCTGCGTTGTTGCTTGACCCGCTGCCCATGATGCTTCTTGTTCACCGAGATGATGCTGGTGTCGATGATGGTTTCAGCCTTTACCATTACCACCCTTCGATAGCAGCCGCTGTCATCGTGGCCCTGATTTTCATCGGCATTACCATACTTCACTTCTGGCAGCTTATTCAGAAAAGATGCTGGTTTATGATTCCTCTAGCAATTGGCGGCATTCGTAAGTCATGCGAGAGGTCCTTTGTTTTGGTTCCCAATGACTAACCGCGATGCTTCCATTACAGTCGAAGTCATTGGGTATGCAGCCCGTGCCAAATCAGGCCAGGAAAGCCCGAACTGGACTCTTGGCCCGTATATCATACAGGCTATCTTCCTCCTAGTTGCTCCAGCCCTCTTTGCCGCCTCGATCTACATGGAGCTTGGGCGGATTATCATTATGGTTGAAGGTGAATCACGTAGTCTGATTCCGCTCAAGTGGCTTACAAAGATGTTTGTTGTTGAAGATGTTGTCTCATTTTTGCTTCAAGCAGGAGGTAAGTCGAGTGTTGTCGATTAATAGCTTCGTCACATAACGATTATTGTACTGACCGAGTCTTCACAATAGGCGGGGGCTATCAATCATCAGGCACCTTGGAAGCTGTAGACAACGGGGCCAAGATCATTATTGGTGGTCTATTTGTCCAGCTTGTCTTCTTTGGCCTATTTATCGTGGTTGCTGTCGCATTCAATTGGTCTATTGATACATCCCCGACCGGAAGCTCACATGCAGTTCCCTGGAAGAAGCATATACATGTGCTTTATGCTGGCAGTGTTCTAATTATGGTTCGATCTATATTTAGAGCTGTTGAGTACCTACAAGGTTCTGATGGGTATATCCTTAAGCATGAAGTATATCTCTATATTTTTGATGCTATTCTAATGGCTCTTGTTATGGTTATCTTTAGCTGGTATCATCCCGCCGAGATCTTGGCGATAATTCTGCAGAGGGGCAAGCATAACGGGATGGAGTTGGGTTTTGTTCCTGCTCAGCATTACCGTTTGACTTCCGATGTATAGTGTCAGGATAACATTGAGTTGCGGATGATTACTTGCTAAGTCTGGAGGGGCACGGATTGGGACTGTAGTGGTTTGTTTTTGGTCTCCTTTTCAATGCTGTACGGTTGTACAAGCCCTTTCTGTAACGAATTTCCAGAATTACATTCAGTACGAGATTATTGACAATATGCCAGGAGAACTGGAGGTGCTGGTAAACAGTCCGATCTTATATACAGATTACAACATCTTAGATTAACCTTATAGGCGGTAGCCAACCTCATAAACGTGTTAGATAAAGGAAACCGGTTTCTCTTATTCAACGTCTTCAAGGAATTGAAGTGCTACTATATCACGACACCACTCCGTATACTGTGCCCAGTAACTTCCTAGGATAGTATCAACCGTTGTAACTACTGAGCGCGCCCAGCCCTTGATGAACCAAGAGCCCCCCAGCAAAGACAAAGTTGCCCCAAAGAAAGACAAAATAATAAGAGCAGGCGGCTGTCGTTGATGAAGTCTCTCGATATACTCCTCCGAGAGATGGCAGAGAAAGTCTAGAAGAGCATACCATCTGTCCATGTCGCAAGATGTTGTCTTATTTGCATGGCCACTCCGGGGTCTAGAAATGTGACCATAACAGCGCCTCAATAGCTCAAGAGCTGAGTCATAAACGTCTGCATCTAAAGCGTGACTGAAAGTTTCCCGTATGCGAGTAAAATAATCGTCTTCTGCAGCAAAGTCCATTACATTGTCCATTTCGGTCAGAGACGTCGGATACTGGCACAAGTTAATCGTTGGTGAAGCGGCCTGTACGTTATGTATCCACTGAGGGTCGATGGGGAGTTTGTTGGGGATGGAGTCGCCTGCGAGGCTTGCCAGCGGACCACATATAGCCAAGGTATAGAAAAGATTGAGTGTCGAGAAAGCTCGAATTGCATCGCTGGAAACGCCCGTGCTCTCGCAGCTTAACTGGCGAAACTGTTCCATGCCGTGTCTGTGGTGCATCTCAGCTGTTTCGAGATACTTTCTCCGATGAACAGACTCACGAGAGGCAAGGTGTAGGCTGGCGACACTCAAGATGCCATACATAACAAATAAATCATTAACCCCAAGCTGAAATATATCGAAACCACATGGGCTCTCGACAGACCAGCATTGACTGATAGAGCGGCTTGTATGGACTGTCCAGTGGTGGGAGAGACTGAGATCCCGAATTTCGAAATCGCCGGCTCCATGCGGGTGTGGCGGTGAATTAGGTGTGAAAACAAGCGACGAATGCCAGGGTAAAGGACTGGGTGGTGTCTGCTGGTCTCCCGTTGGAGACAAGCGCGTTTCGTTGCTATGGAGTGAACCCCCTCTGGTTCTAATTGACGATTTGAGGTGCAGGTAGTGACAATTCATATGTCTTATAATACACGACCTACAGTCAGGCTTTTCTTCTCCGCACTGTCATCTCATAGCATCAGTATGAGAAGCAGGCAAGAGACAAGTAATAAACATTACCTTGATGTGCCGTTTCTTACATTGAGTACAGCCGCCCCTAGATTTTGTATGAGGTTTGCGATGGGGCCGTGTTTTCTGCGTAGACATGGAGATTTTCGTGAAAGAGGTAGCGGATAGTCACAATTGTAATAATAAAAAAGACATCCTATTATGAAGACTTAGGCGGAGGGATAACGAATTTATGAACAGGACGACTCCGGTTACTAGCCAAGGCGGAGCGAGGTGAAACTGGTTTACTTGAAGTGGGAGCGAGGTTAAACGAGAAGCGAGATATTAAAATAAAGGAGTCCTGATCACGTCACACATGCCCCACATCTCTAGATAACAGACATCCATTTAATTAAGGACCGACGAAATACATAACCAATAGCGTTCTAGAGCCGGATCACCTGTACCAGCCTCAACGTTCATGGTGTTTACCTCTGGCTAAAGCGCGAGCACGATAATATAGGAGAATACTCCAGTTCCATGTTCAAAGAGAAGCCGATAGATCTAGTTGGTCCGGATCTAAGCCAATGCCGCAAGCATGGACCGCCGTGCTTACGGGCCACATCACCTGAAGTAGTTACATGACAATGGGGTTTGGCTCCGGGACCTTGATAATACTTTACAAATCATCCCCTCTACGAGGGACACTGGGAATCTAGTATGTCTCGTCCTAGAATAACATATTCAGGAGGCCAAATACTATTAAAGTCGTATTGCAAACAGTATGTCTACTTGATCTGGCACCTACATGAAAATTCCCCCTGAGTATATAATTTTAGCCTCTTATCAAGACATTAAGCCATGGACCGTAAATGCCTGCGAGCCCGACCTTAATGTACGCCTTGATCTCACTCTAGCGGCGTACAGAGCTTGGCGCCAAGCCACAAAATCCAAGTTTGCAGTTCTGACAATTGAGCTCTCCCTTGGCAGGGAAGTCCGAGCTTCGTTCTATGACGTAGGTGTCAGTGCGGGTTAGCAAGAATCAATGGAGGAGAAAGGCTTCTTACGGTATGTTTTGCAAGTTATGACTTGTCACACATCGGCATAAATAAGGACATGGCCGATCTCATGGAGTGAACCCATGATCGCCATTGACTTCAGTCTCTTATTGATAGCGAAATCGGAACCAACATCGAGGCAATCAATTTTTTAGTTGGCTATATCTCAACTTCTGATGAATCGGGACAGCGATGAAGATGGTTAGGAATGATCTCTGGAACAGATTTCGTCAAGTCTGGACAGAACTTGGTAGAGATGCTGAGGTTCTGTGGATGACAAGACTAAATCTGACGATAAATGTAAGTGATCCGTTCTGGAATGCTGTTGTGGTGCATATACTAATCAGCCTTGCCGTCAAATATTGGGTACAGGTAATCGGAGCTCTGTTCAGCTTTGCAAGTGATACTTTCTAGCTTTTCCAAGAGTTTAGGAGCTTCCATACGTTTCTGGACGTCAACTTGCAATAGATCATCTTCAATGAGCTGGATGAGATCCGCTAAAGCAGTGTTGTCGCTGCAAAGTGGCTGACTTCGGAGATGACCGATAGCTTCAATAACTGCGGAGTGGATCTGTATCAGGTTGTCTGAGGTCTGGACGAAGAAACTTCCAAAGGCGTCCTTTGGATCATCTCGGGCACGCCTTGACTTTCTGAAACTTCTGACGGTGCTGTAATCAAAGACGAGCCAGACAGTGAATTCCAGGAACATACAGCCCAGAGACCACATATCATACCGTCGACCTCTTGGCTTGCCTTCTCGTTGATCCGACTGTGCTTCGGGTGCTTCGTATGTGATCGTGGACTGTTGGCAGTTTGTGGGGTCTTGCCTCATGCTGGTAATCTCTCGGTGGATTTTGGAGACTCCGACATCTGCAAGTATCAGTCTTCCTCTACTATCCATGGTAGCATCATCATGCGCTTTGTGAAAATGAAGTATGTTTTGTGGCTTGATATCTCCGTGTCGCGTAATTTTTCCATGCAGAGCGTTGATCGCACTGACGATACCGAGCATCTGGCGGAGAGACCACAAGACAAGTTCCTGGGACCGCGATTGTGAGTCATTGGCTTTCCAAAAGTCTCTAAGATCTCCACCGTCAGCCCAAGGAAATATGAAATAGCATATGGGTCCCTTCTGACAAGTAGCGATTAATTTAATAAGGTGTTTGTGGTTTAGAGACTGTGTGAGCTCAAGATTTGCCTTTTCCTTCTCGAAAGCCTCATCGTTGTTAACCTCTTTGACAGCAACATATGGCTCAGGATCATTCTAGGTCTTGTTAGCGCTTGAAATGCCTCATGGGTGATTAATATTAATACCTTGAAGAGTGTCTGGTGGGCTCCATGGATCTTGCATTTGTGTAGCACGCTGTTCGGGCCACTTTTGCATTTCATGACACAGTCTATTAGGGGAAGGGGGCATTTCGGGTCCAGTGAGATGTGCTGGCCGAGAAGACTCAGTACAGGCGCTTGTACCAGCCATTGAAAGTTCAGAAAGTCTCGCACTCTCGCCTCCCTCGGCCAGAAGGAAAACGATTGGAACGTCTTGCCAGTCTTGGGGGATGCAAGGACGTTTTCATCATCTCCACTCACGGATTGTCGAGCGAGAGGAAGATCTTCATCCCGGATATTATCCCGGCAGATGAGATCAACAATCGCCTGCGTTTCTTGAATAAGAACGAGGATAGAAAATATGATTCGGGCCTGGTTCAGTATCCTTCGTGGCAGATCGCGATTTGAGAAGCATCGCTTCCTAACGGGGATTTCCAACTTGATGTTGGCTTCAATCACTCTAGCACTGATTTCGTTTAGTGGTAGGAACTCTGCGTCGTCGTGACAGGGGATGAGGCATTTATTCAATTGCTTGTAGAGTGCCATTCTGATCTCGAGACGGCTTTATTTGGGTGTAGTTGGCAATTGACGCTTTTCTTTTTATTGACAGTACCCCTTACCAAGCAGAAAGATCCACAGGGGTTAAAATGTTTCTTCACTTTGCAATCTAAGGATGCAGGACATGAGTGGGCTCCTATGCGAACTGTGAGGCTCTGCGGTTCGGCGGCCTCATAAGGCGGACGGACCTTGGAGCTGCTTATCATCTGAGCTAAATTGAGTAAGCTGTTCATTATCGAAGAGGAGGGGAAAAGAAAGCGAAAAGAGCGAATTGGGCAGGTGGGCGCGTCGGGGTCGTAGCCTATATTGTACACCGGGTGGAGAGTGGAAGGCCTCAATGTAAGCGAATGCACCAATGTGACACTACTTGGCTGAGAATACCCTTGCCGCCTGTCAGCAGCACAACACCACCCCGATCTTATTCACGCAGCCTGATTTCGCATTTGATTGAGGGCATCTGTCCATCTGGCTGCCTGACAATAATGAAGCGAGTAACCGCAATCAATAATTGAACCATGGACTAAAATAGTACGCATTAAAATGCATCTCCAAGGCAGATTTCAGGTAGAACCAACCCACCATCGAGACAACAACAGTGATTACTCAATGATGTAATCTCTCTGCTCCGCTAAATTGTGACTGGGCCAGTTACTTAGAAAGCAAGACCCATTCGTCAACGAGGTGTGATAATGCAATACACACTGCAGAACCCTTCCGTAATGGTGGGTGACGTAGGCATACAGGCCCCACGGCACAAGAAAACTTCTGACATTAGATCGAGCTACTAACACATTTAGTACAAGATTATCTAAATCTATACTAAATTGTAAAAGGTTTATCTAAATTGATTTAAGACTGTTGATCGTTAAGGATAGAGATCTTACGTTTTCTTACATCGCTTTACTAAGGTAGGTTCAACATCAGGCAGCAGTCACACAGATGTGAGTCCATGTAGGTCATATCACAGCGTATAGTACTTGCATATGCATCAAATATAAGTGATGCATCCATGAAGAAAAGTGAGGCTGATCGATTCTTACGGCCAAAAGCAGTAGTCATGCCATCGCTCATTGCCTGCATCGTTTCCTGTCTCACAGGACAGCCCTTCTGTAAACTCATACCTGTCTTACACCATCTCCGCGAGTACGATGGTTAGATCGAATTATTTGCATCTTACAATACCTATGATCTTGGAAACTATGACTACTGTTTGGAACTTCCTCACTGGGTCCTCCTCACCCGAAGTCGACAAAACGAAACTCAATCGATTGCGCAACAACATTCGACGTTCTCTACAGAATAGCGTGATCAGCGAAACTTGCTTTCTTCCCGAAAGCGACATTCAAGGCCTTGTGACGCCCGACAAGGTAAAGCTATTGTTGCCCAATGCCAAGCCAGAATTAGTAGACTTTATATGCAACGATGCAAAAAAGCTCTTCTTGACTGCGTCCTTGCACCACGGTAACCTTCAGGACATCATGGGCACTTTCAAGGATCATGGCATGACAGACGAGCACCTCCCGATCCGCGACCTTACTTCAGAAGATAAGTACTGCGAGGTTCACACTGAAGGACTTCAAAGAGTTTGCAGTCATGAAAAGGCGTTGGAGGCTTTTCATCGCTGGGATGCTCATGATGTCTGGAACTTTTACAACGATCAATGGATGTTTTGTGCACCAATGCTCAGCATGGAATGCTCATCTCAAGAATTCCACCCTAAGCACATACTGCCGTTTATAGAGAAGGGTAAGACCCAGAAGGATGGCCATTTCAGTACCGTTTTTGAGGCTGTAATTCATCCTGGCCACCAAATTGGCCGTGGGTCATTAAAGGTGAGCATCTTGTTACGATAAAATCCATCGCTCACATTTCAATAGCCAAACATAAATCAGACGCGGGTCGCTCTGAAAGAATTGAAAAGCCTGAGCGAGCCAAATTATAACGTACATGTATCATGGCTGAATGAGGCAAATGCACTCTTCCAGATTGCTGAGCTTCGTCACAAACATCTCATTAGTCAGGCCACTGCCTTCAAACAAGGAGAAAGAAGGTTCATTGTGCTCGAGTGGGCTAATGGGGGCACTTTACGGGATATATGGCAGAATGAGCCTCACGACAGATTTGTCCTAGACGGTGACAAGGTCATGCGAGTCCTGGAAGAACTAACTGGGATCGCAAGTGCGCTCTCGAAATTACACGGCACTAACACCAGAACGAGAACTGCAAGGGCAACATCCGCAGATCTAAGAAAGAAGAACCCTCCGTCGAGATCTAGAACAATTTTACCACAGGGCCAAGGTGATCGCTTAACTGTTCCAAAGATACGCTTCGAGGGAGTAAGCTCAGACGACGATTATGACTCCAGCGACTACGGTGAAGAGCAGCATTGGCGCCACGGGGATCTTAAGCCTGACAATATCCTCCATTTCAGAGATGAAATGTCTTCGTGGCTTGGAACCCTCAAAATCGCCGACCTCGGTCTTGCCAAGCAACACGCATTCGCTACTACCCAAAGACAGGACCCAACCCAGCAGAAATATACAACCTCTCACTACGAGGCCCCTGAAGTGATCACCACCATGAATTCTCGAGTGCCTCGCTCACGCCGCTATGATATATGGTCTATGGGCTGTATCATATTTGAGTATACGATCTGGCTACTATACGGCTATGAAGAGGGACTGAAGAGCTTCTACAACGAAGGGAAGGATATCGATGCGTATCGAGAAACGCTGTACTTTACAGCTGATCTCAGCACAAGGCAAGCTCAAGTGAGTAACGCGGCGCGAAGATGGATTGACCACATCTTGGAAGTCGACCCGGAATGCAATCGTGCCACGCCAAGCGTGATCAAAGATCTTGTCATATTGGTTCGGGATAAGCTCCTTGTTATCGATCTCCCAAAGGAAAACATGAGCCAGGACGACATCAAGCGATGCCGTGCCAGTGCAGATGACTTGGAAAGGGCCTTGCAAAAGATCAAGAGATTGGCCGCTGACGATGAACATAAAGGAGGTACATACCTGTCTTCGGGTAAAAGTCGCCACGGAATTTTGGCTCCTCGTCCTCAAAAGGTTCGTAGGCAGAGCTTCCTGTCGACCAGTTCAGGATCAGCATCGAAACCATCAAATCTGGTACGAGCTCTGGACTGACTCGTTGTGGCAAAGGCTGATACGAAACAGGATGTAGGTACATTGGCGGCAAATCGGAGGCGACATTAGATGGCTAACTGGTTCCGATCCCATCTTGTATTATAGACTGTGAGTTAGACCATAAGAGAGGAGTTCACCAGCAATGAATCGATGATAGCTGATCTTGAATTTAGTATGTGAGTTATGTCCCTGCTACAATTTCGTCTCAAACCGCTGCTCACCAAACATTGCCGTATCTTATAGAGTGTAAGTGATAAGTACTTCTGAAGTGTTTGTTGAGAATTAAAGGGCTGATGCAGATTCTTTCCGTAGCACGTAAGCAATATTTAATCATGCTCTGATAGACTGTTTTTATAAACTGACCTGGGAGTTGATTTAACTTAAGATTGTAAGTTTTCATAATAAACCTGAGGTTGGAGTTTACCCTACTGATCATGGTTTCACCGCATAGGCAGTAAGTACAACAGCTCTCCCTATACTATCATCATCCTGACTCGGACAGTTCAATGACAGTTGGAACCTGATGGAAGATAAAGCTATCTCTCTTGAATTCCTGAAGCGTCACAAAACAGCCGTCGTGGACAGCATATCTATGACTCAAGAAGGAACAAAACTATGTGACGAATGTAGAAAACTTGACTATCGGAGCGACGAACCTATGATAAGGGAGACTATGGCAACCATGAGATCCAAGAGTCAGCAGTGTGCGCTGCATAGCCTTGTTTACCGCTCTATTCCCCCATCTGCTTACAACAGCATGGAGGTTGTGCATGTTCGGAGATCTGACTCCTTACTTGTCATGGACAAATCGAAAATACCCTTACTCTCACTTTCCAAAATTTCAGGTACGTAGAACTGTTGCCAGACGCAGAAGTACATTAATCAACAAAGGAAAGCAGATAACTCAAAAAGAAACCATCTACACTCTGATGATATTTACTTTGGACTGCCAAAGCTTTTTCCACCCAAAAGTGCCCCGTTTTACGACCTCCTTATAGCATGGATTCAAGATTGCGACTTGCATCATCCCCAATGTCATCCCGCCGATAGATCACGCGCCCAACCACCAACTCGCCTGATTGAAGTGGGTCAAGTTGATGGTGGAAGCCCGAAGGTCTTCCTTCGCGAGACAGTGAACGTCCAGTGTCCGACGGGAGGTGAGCTGAAATACATCGCCCTGTCACATCCTTGGGGCAATGGGAAAGAACACGATCATTTCTGCACTACAAATAACAACCTTGACGGTCGATTGAGTGCTGGCATTGAGATAAAAGCATTCCCGAACACATTCAGACATGCAATCGAGGTGACTCGAGCACTTGGTGTCCCATACCTCTGGATTGATTCGCTGTGTATTGTACAAGGACCTGGCGGGGACTTCGACACGGAAGCCAAAAGAATGGAGCTTGTTTTCAGCTCGGCATATTGTGTCATTGCCGCAAGTCGGGCCAATGGAACATCAAGTGGCTTTTTGTGGGAAAGACCTGAGCGCGAAGTGGTAAGGCTGGATGGATATCTTGCCCATGATTCTGTTTACGCTTGTGAAGCCATTGATAACTTTCAGCACGATGTAATTGAGGGGGCTCTGAACAGACGCGGATGGGTTCTGCAAGAGCGTGCTCTTGCGCCAAGGACCATATATTTCACCGAGAACCAGACGTATTGGGAGTGCGGCCAGGGAGTGCGTTGCGAGAAGTTGACAAGGTTGACCAAGTAAGTTGCAAGCGAGATCTCAAGAATCGTCGTTACTGACGTTGGCCTTGTAGTAGCCAGGCTTCATTCCTTGGGGATCCCAACTTTCCCAAGTTAGCTATGAGGTCAACTAGAGGAGCAAAGATCCGCTTTTATGAATCACTGTACAGACAATACTCTAAACTCGAGTTTACGAAGATCCATGACCGACCCATAGCGATAGCCGGGCTAGAACAACGGCTGGTCAGTGCTTTCAAGACGGAAGGCGGATACGGTGTGTTCAATGGAGCATTCTTTGGGCGCAGCCTTTTATGGACAAGGGATACCCAGCAAAGTGATCGCCTGAAATTGATTGACTTTCCCCGAGATCAGAAGTTCAGAGTCCCAACATGGTCGTGGACAGCATACGAAGGACCCATCACATACTTTGACATACCGTTTGACCATGTTCGATGGACATACAACACTGCCGAAGGAAGAATTCAATCGCCATGGACGACCATGGAATCAGACTCTACCTCATTCTCATTACATACAGGAGAACTAAATGGAAGAATTGATCTTACTGCCCCAGCAAGGGAGATATTCGATCTGGAATTAGCCGAGATGCAAGGAAAGGTCATCTACGACGAAGGAAAGTCGCCGCCGGGTGTACGTAAGCTATGCGTTATTGTTGGACGCGAAAAGTCAAGAGATGAAGGATGCAAGATGCAGGACCTTGAGTATTATGCTTTAATCATTGCGCCCTTTGATGATCCCAGCGATGGCTTTTGCCGAAGGATTGGTGTTGGTAGATTATTGGAAAGCTGGATTGACTTTGCTAACCCTGAGTTAAGAGTACATATCTCGTAGTAACTCTGAGCAGGCTCATTCTCACTTAATTTGAGCTGTTGACAATTTTTATCGTAGTGATGTAGACTAAGTTTACCATCCTTACGGGTTTCTGTTTCTTCTTCTAGGAAGGTCAATCATGTCACATTAGATCTGGACCTCGTCTTCCGTGTTGGGGGAAATTGGCTATGCAGTCGCGATATGGAAAGCCCTTCTAAATGGCAACAGGTGTTTCATCGTGGGCAAGGTTGAAGATGGCTTCATGCGATAATTTATGCGTTAATGAATCTAGCTAATATATTGTTATTGAGTTATGAGTACCGCCCTGTTCTCTTGTCTGATAAGGATGATTGCTAGCCAAGGGGTTATAAATTAATTCTGAAACGAGCTACTTATGAGCCAGCTAGCATCTTCGGTAAAGTCAGTACTAGTATCAAAGTCCTCCCATCCACCATCCGTCGCCGCATAGCCAGTATTGTCATAGTGGCGAAAGTATCGAGTAGGATAGCTCCACGATCGCAGAGCGTTAGACCCTGTGCTATCAAAGCTCTGCTGCGGGCACCAAGTCGCATCTTCTGAAAATTGCTTACTTCCATCGTTGGCGTTGATATATAGTTTGAAGCCACTATGGCGAATGAAAGAACCTGGAGTATCGACGGACTCTAGAGACAGACAGCCCAGAGCGGAGGCAACAAGACCTTGTCGTACAACCCAGCTACCCTTCTGCTTTGTGGATGTATCGCTAGAGGAGGAGATAACTTGCGTGTTGACGGTGGAGCCATCGTGGGCTAGATATCTGTTTGTGAAACCAGGGGTTGTTGCCTTGATCGTGATCGTAGACCCAACCTTAAGTGGTGGGCCATTTGCCAGGGACGTTGCGGTGAATCCAGCCTGCGCAATGTTGGCCTGGACTGCATCTTCAGTCTTATCAGATGGATAGCCTGATGTAAGAACCCCTTCATACCAAGTCCCCTGGTCCAAGTTACCGTTATCTCCGCCGATACCAAGAACGATTGCGCCCTGTTTGTCCATGGGATAGTACCCGTCAGGGCGAGGCCCGCTGTAGTAGGTAGATAGAGATTTTGCCGTTTCATTGCCACCGCGAAGAGACCACAAGTTAGTGGAGTCGCCTTTGAGAAAGGCTGTCACAAATCGTGACTCGATGGATGGGTCGCCTGGGTTATAGCCAGATCCTTGGCCCGAAAACAGGCCATTCTCCATATCAGCCATAATCCAGGGGCCAGAACCAGCACCAGAACCCCACATAGTGTCATCACCGAAATAGATGGCCTCCATCGATCCGTTATCGTCGGCATGGTTCGTAGTTTCCGCATTGCCAAAATCGAAGCAACAGTTGCCATTGTAATGGGTCCCATCAAAGATTGCATACATACCCTCTGCCTCATTTTTAACAGCAACGCCAGTGGTCTTATCATTTCTGTAACCAACCGTAGAGTGTACGAAGATACCGTATGTCTTTTGTCCGTTTACGAGCACCGGAGCACCATAAGCGGCCGCAATATCATCATACTGTCCAGGGGCAGGGCCCTTAGAGCCACCGCCTGGAGGTGCCCTGGTAAGATGGTTCCCCTTGCCAGACTGATCGTAAATGATGGGTATGGCACAAGTGGTGTTGGCACAGAACGTATCCTGCACCGAGACGTCTGCCACACCACCGGGACTTGTAGGGGCAATGTCGGTAGTTTGGCCGTCAGAACTTCGTTGGAGTTGATAGAGCGGGCCACTGTATGACCCGTATAATGCTCTCGTGGTTCCGAATGCCGCAACACAAGGAGTTCCCCCGGCAGCATAGATATCGCATGGCCCCGAAAGGGCATGTGAACCAATAGCTGACTTGCTAGTAGCTGCAAGTCCAGCAAGAAGATAAGAGGTTTTGCGGAAAGTCACATTCGCCAACGGGCATAGAAGTAATTTGCATGTAGAGTGACGTGGGACGATCTGTGTAGTTAATAAGAAGCCGTAGAGGGCATCATTGAGATTTTATCCTATTAATATTGGGCAGCTTCTTACTTGGTGTCGAGCCGGCTCGAACTTTAGATGCTAGCGCGACTCACCTGATTGGGGCGCGTTGTTGATAACCTGGGGAAGTCGGCATTTATTGCAAATCATCTGGAAAATACGGCACTCGATCGAGCCACGATTGGAGCGCATTATAGAGCGTCTGATCACCTGAGGAACACGACATTCGTTTAATTATGACTGAAGCGCATATTCAGATTATCTGAGGGACGTCGTATTCTGTCCAGTTATGGCTAATGGCTAATATGAGCAGTTGTGGCGGTAATAGGACAACTTACAACAAAACAAGGCGACCCCAAGCAAAGAAGTCCTACTCTTCTACTTCTGATTGTGCGTACACTAGTACACCTCTTTAGCAAGTGCAGGCTGGTATGCACAAAGCTCAAATGATCGGGGTATTGGTTGTGTTTTAGTAAGAAACCGCTTCCTGCAGTTTGTTGCGTTCCTGAGTTCACCTCTGTTGTGAAGTTAGCGGATCAATGGCTTACTGTGTATCTGCGAATTGGGCCTACCTTGCTGCCCCATATACAATTACGTTAAAGTACTGGATTTTTTCTACGGGCAAGTAATTGATTTACACAAGCTTGATAACCTGTTTTAATCTGGAGTTCACAGATAGAATCCAAGCAAGAAAAGTCACAGACCTGTCGTATCGGCTTATCATGAGTCCTTGATGAATGGAGAAACTCTTGTACTAAACGAGGCATCTTGGATAACGGTGGATCGAAGACGCTAAACCACTTTCACCATTTCGCGACGTTACCCCTCCAACAATGCTACCCCACCATGATGACCAAATGAGTTAGGTCTACTCGGAAATGTTTTGACCATCAACAATACATCATCGTCTTCATTCAGCGTGCGCAATTAAGAAATGACCAGCCTCAGGGTCCAAAACACTCGCACTCCCAGATACGGTCGTGTATGGTCGTGGCTCAATTCAATTGAAGAAGGTTCCTTTCCCACCGAAGAGTCAGAACATCAACGCAAGCGACGTAAAATAATAAACACCGAATCAGACAGCGACAGTCAATCTTATCGCATCCCGACGCCTCCAGGATCATCTCAAGATAGCTGCTTCGACAACGAGTTAAATACACAGAGTATTAATTCAATGCCAAGGAAGCGCAGAAGGTCGACCCACGATCAAGGTCTTATTCACTCTGACGAAGATGGCGCTGTTGAGGATACCCCCAGGGCATCATCAAGAAGCCTGAAGCAGGGAGCTCCGGCTCTGGACCGCGAGTCTTCGACGTCGTATGCTTCATCTGGAGTCTCTGGCACATCATCACCGACCAAACAACTGCGCTATGCTGCGGCGCAAAAGACGGGTTTCGACGACTTCAAATTCGATGACTTTATGGATCAGTTACCGCCTTCGCTCCAAGATTTACATCAGCAGCTTCTTACCATCGGTTACGGATTTGCGCTTGTTCCCCAAACGTTGAAACCTGAGCTTCAGGGTCTGCGTAACATACCGGAATTCGCTTTTTACGATCCCGATAAGCATACAAGCAATTGGCGAATTCCTTCCCCTTCGTTCATCCGCCAGGTTTTGCAGAGCGCCACCAAATGTGAATTTGGCCGTCACAGTGAAGCTTCTTGGAACATGGAAGTTCATCGGTGCGTTCTCGACTTTGCTTTCCGAGAGGCAAACGACGCTTCCGTCGGTGATTACAGATACTGCACCACTGCGCACATCATACCTGAGTACAAACCCTTCGGCACATCGTCCAAATGCATTGACTTCTGCATTTGCATCGAGACTCCAAAGGACAGTCTTGAACGCCAGAAGATTGACGATGCTATCAAGACGCGGCCTGGCCTGTCAATCAACCATACAGACTGGGGCGACCTCTGCAAGAACCCTGTCGCCCTCTCGATCGAGACTAAGCGCCAGGTCAGCTGGGAGAAGGCGCTTCTTCAGATCGGTACCTGGCATGCTGCGCAATGGCGGTCCCTCCGAGGGAACATCGAGGCGATTGAGTTTCTGGCTGGGATCATTGTGCAAGATCATGACTGGTTTTTCGTGGCGTCGACACTGCAGGACGGAAAGTCGAAGACGTATCATCGGTTGCCGCTTGGGAGCACGTATAATGCATTTGACTTGTACAAATTGCTCATTTCGTTGCAAAGTTTGGGTGCGTGGATCAAGGAGAAGTACTGGCCTGCTTTTCGGAAGGATATGCTTAACATCAAAGATCTTGAGCAACGAGATGATTGAACGATGACTGCATTTAAGACTATACCCGGCGTTCATGGCTAAAAGGAAGCGATGTCAATAAATTGGATTAGTAGTGAACCCTTTATTTACTATCGATATCCATATCAAGAAATCATGCCTATCGATGAATAACTTGGTCTAATTGTTTCCCATAAGGCAGCTTGATGTTGCCTCGTAGAGACGTCCAGAGCTGGGAACGACTCCACATGGTTTCTCTTTTGGCTACTGAATCGGCGAATCCGCCTATTGCAAGTTCATCGCTAATAAGCACGATAATGGAATCCCCGAGTTGGGCGCTGATGGCCGTAAACTAGAGCAATGGTATTCTTACGCTACAATACTGCCATCACGTCAGATCATCACCTGCATCAAGGGGAATGATGCAGGAACGGAATTCTCTTGCTATTTATCACGCATGGAAGGCATGAGCTAAACTATAGACATGGGATGGCTCAGATCAGAGAAGAGACTTTTACGAGTTACAGCTGAGAATGCTTGGGGGCTGAGCGTTTATCGGGCGCCACTTTAAGCTACGTCCACTAACGCGATCAGAGATCACAAGTGGAGCTGATTTCCAAGCTTGATTGGTGTCTCGTTCTGGCTGTTGACCAATGCGGCTAGTGATCGATGGTCCAGACCTGTTTCTGCATGGGTACAAGTCACTGAGGCTGTCAATAGTTGGCAATAGCGACAGCTAGCCATCCCAAATGCTGTTGAAAGAAATGGCTATTGACCGCCAAGAGTTGGATAGCCTGAAAAAATGAGTCTGGTGAGTCAGTAAGCATTTCCCAACTTCAGGGGTTATGTATAGATAGTTAAATCGCCGTTTAATTCTCTTCTAGACGTTTGCATGCCCTCACGGTTTCTTTGGACCTGATAGTTTTCTTTCACGATGCTGTCCAAGATTGCTCTAGTGACCTTGGGCCTAATTGGTTTTGCTGCTGCTGGTCCCTGCAAGCCTAGCAGCCGAGCCACGGTGAGCAGCCATTCTGCAACCTCATCGGCTGCGACAATCGATGTTTCCGAGACTTCGACGGATAGCCATACAAACCTCAACAGTCTCACCATCACGTCATCTACTGAGACCACCGAAGTTCCCAGTTTGACTCTTCCCCAGTCATCAACAACCACTCAAGAGGAAAACATAATCATCACCAACGCGATTTTAGGAGGCTCCTTCGCCAGTCGCGATCCCAATAGCCCAAGTGGCCTCACCAACTTCGGCGCCTCAGGTAATGCCGAGTTCCACCAAGGCGGATGCTACCGTGTTGATGGTAGCCTCGACGATGGCTGCGCAGCTTTGAGTGCTAATGGGGACGTCACCAAGCGAAGCTTCTTTGGCTCTTTTGCTAGCATCTTCCAGACTGTACGGTCGGTCCCGAGAAAGAAGTACACTATCCAATTCTTTTATCTCATTAGGTCAGCTGGAAGCCAAGGCTGTGTTGCAAGCGCGGCATTTGGTAATTCAGAGTTCTATTCTCAACCTGCTTCTAGTTCAGGACCATCGTGGGCCAGGGTACTGAGGCAGGTTGAGGCACTTTCTGACTTACCAACCTTTGCTATCTCACTGACATGCTCTGGCGGTGGTACTTCTTCGATCTTGGTCGACTCCATCTTCATCTCGGACCAGGTTACCCCAGATACGATTGACAATTTCAAGCTTGACTTAGGTGGGAGCCCTCCGATGGATCCTGTCGAGACTACGACGGCGATCAGGGCTCAAGAGTCCCCTACCCTCACAACAGGTCAAAGCGGATCTACCGGCACCGAAGGCTCGGAAAGGACGAGCGCAGCGACACCCATCTCAACAGCGTCTCTAGAGGTCACTTCGTCGGTTGCCACTGAGGCAAAGTCCACTAGTTCTGATCCCGACACATCCAGTGCTGCGTCAGAGAGCAGGGAGATTACAACAACATCTTCGACTGAGATTACCCCGGGAAGAAACACCGATTCTACCGTCGTCAGTGCATCCTCGACCTCGCTAGCTGCTGAGGAGACCAGCAGGGGTGAGACAACTAGCTCGGCATCAGAGAAAATTGGCTCGATATCTCAATCTGCCACTACAGAAGAGCCTTCTCATACCACAGGCTCTGCCTGCAAGCAAACATGTCAGATCATCAACGACTATTACGCACATCTGGATGACTTCGGATGCGATCTCAATGGTGTTTTCACGAATAGTGATGCTATTTATACTCTTCCTGGTGAAGAAGTTGGTGCGACTCAAACTCACTTGTACAGCAGCAACGAGGAGTGTGCCGAAGTTTGCAAGACTCTTCCTGGATGCTTGTCAGCTGGATTCCAGAGACTCTCTGGCAAGTGTTTCTTCTCCAATACTCTGGTCACCCGAGAGGAAATACGGGACGGAAGAGACAGCCAAATGGTCCATTGGTTCGGTATGGAGTGCTTCGTTTGCGGCTGCAGTTCAGGCGACACATCGACAACGGCGATTCCTACGACAACCCTAGTTCCTGAACCAACCAGCTTCACCACAACCACTAAAGCTACTCAGCCAACAGGTGTTTGCCACAACAACCGCGGCCAAGAGTGCGAGATCAACCTATCAAGCGTCGAAAACAACCCTTATGTCTGCATTGGCGGAGGCGTCTTTTTAGGAGAGTCCTGGACAGTCCCTCGCTCAATGTATCCTATGCAGGAGAACGGAGAGCAGTGCGCAGCCATCTGCGACACTCTGGAGAACTGTGAATCCTCTGGCTACTTTAGTATGGAGAACCACTGTCTCTTTACAACAACGAAGATAAAAACATCCGACTTTGCGGATCCCGATCCAAACTACGACGATCCTGGGCTAGACCCCAAGAACAGTGTTTGGAGCCATAGATCCTGTTATACGTGTCCGACTTGCGTCCTCAGCGACGCACCTCTTCCCAAGAGCCCCACGTGCAACTACAAACCTGGTGACTCTTGCACGCGTGTAAGTGCGGATGGTGTTCTGTGCAATTACTCGGGAATGTTGCCTGGAACTTTTGGCGCTCTTGGCAGTTATCCTGACCAGAGTTCATCAGGAAAATGTGCTGCTATATGCCGGAAGATGACCAGGTGTATGGGCTCTGGGTACAGGGATGGTAGGTGCATGTTTACAAGCACGACTCTGGCGGCAGGTGATTTCCTGGATAGGCATAATTACGATCTTGTCTGGGACGATCCGTCTTGCTTTGAATGCCCCGGCTGTTCAACATAGAGATAATAAACTGTGTTATTATTGAGGGATAATCCCGGCACAAAAAATAGTCCCTTTTCAATTCTATTATGTTACAAACTTATTATAAGCTTTGGTAAATCAGGTCCCCATTCTGGATATTGTAATCCAGGATCCGCATGAATGGCTGTGATTTTCGTAAATAAGCTAAGTTCTTAAGTAAACCATAGGCTACACTACAACACTGAATTGCTTCTTGAACCAGGCAATTGCCTGTTCTTCAGCTTCCTCTGCCTGTCGCGTCTCTTTTGAGTCAGGCTCTGCCCTGCTTGCGCGAATTGAGAACCCATGCTTTGCTCGAGGGTAGATAACCACGCTTGTATCAACATCCTTGCCCTCCAAGATTGATTGGGCTTGTCGCACTTGCTTCATTCCCATTACGGGATCATCGTCGCCAATTGCGATAGAGAGAGGTCGTGCGACATTGCCAATATCTGGTATGGCATCAACACTACTTGGATGGGCAGTGAAAACTGCATCAGCTAAGGCGTGGCCACTAGCCAATTTAGTTTCCGCTGTGTCGTGGGTAAGTTTGATAGCGTGGAGCCCTCCCCAGCAGAACCCCGCGATTCCCACCGAAAGAGCTGCGTCTTTATGCTGGTGGACTTCTTTCAAGAACCCAGTCACCCTTGGCCAACAAACACTGAAGCGGTTTCTAATCAGAAAAGGCACAAAGTCCAGCATAGTAGCAAGGAGATAGTACCTAATTGTCGGTCAGTCGAGTGATGCAAACTCCCTCAGCTTTAGGGTAGGAGGGAAGGAAGCTCACGGTTTAGACAACCAAGATCCAGTCTCATCCCAGAGGTGTGCCATATTGATCATGGTCCTGACTGGTGCAGCACTGTCTACGACAGACCTCGTTAGTTGTTTTGATCTGCTATATATAGAGTAGACGCCACGCTTACCATCCATAAAATCGGGTAGGTAAACCAAATAGTCAGCGGCTGAAGCATAATGATCCGCCAGAATCTGATTGTTAACAAAGCCAACACCGAACGCGTCAGGAATTATGACAATAATAGCTTTCGCGCTCTTGCCGGCGGGGGGTTCTGCAATGTAAGTCCGAAGGCCATGAACGGTATTCCAACGACCAGTAGGAGCGCCTGGATTGACATGGCCGGAAAAGCACTGAGGGCACGACATGATGTCTCTATTTGTGAGGGATGCGTGGCAGGTGGAGCTCTGAAGATGGATCAATAATGAGCAGTGTTCGATCGAACACCTATCGGAGCGACTTGATACTTATATTGCTACTGATGTAGCTGGGTTGACTGCGTCTCGACCAGAGAATCGTCTCCATGCGCTGTAAGAATGGGAATCCCAAAGGGTTTAGCCTAAGCGCAGTCGATTGAGCTAAGCAACGAATGACGATCACGTCTGTAACAGCCAATGGCATGGCTGATCGGCGTCAAGCACAACGCTTATCTCGGCCTAGTGATTTGTCCGGCTTGGAGGGTGCGATTCCCATTGGCTCTCGTCACGGCGCAGCAATACGAGCTATTTGCGACACGCTTACTGCATGACAGTATGTAGCAGCTTATGCTTCTTAGAAACTCGACTCTCAACAGAATGAAGGTCAACATGACGTCTTGCATTGGTAGATAAGCATACCCAACTGGGAACAGCAGGCTTCTCAAGCTTCCTGCATCGCGGACCTAGATCAGCAATGAGATATCATGGCGCAGAGGGAGCAGCAACAAGCAGCGGTCTCAGACGGGACGCGCAGTCGCAAGGGATGTCTCACCTGCAGAATCCGCAAGAAGAAGTGCGACGAGGAGCTACTAGCATGCAGTGCTTGCCGGTCAAGAGACCTTGCATGCTACGGTTTCAACGTGCCGCCACCGTCTTGGATCCGTAACAAGACCTCATGGAAAGATGTCCTGGAGTCCAATGAAGCGAGAGCTCTACGGACTGTCGCGGAGCTACGGTACAAAGTCTCGAGGAAGCTGGATTCTAGAGATACTACTTGTGGTGTGACGGGACTCTTGCCGACCGACTCAGGGAGCAACAGCAACCAGTACGGGCCTCACGACTTCCCAAGTGCCTATGAGGCTTTATTGGGCACATTTCATCGCGACATCTTCTGAACACCATCCATTATTCAGTTAACAAATGGGATCAACATCTGGCAGCGACAACCCGATACCATCTGGTGGGATAGCAGGATGCAAAGTCTACAGCCCGGACCTGAAAGCTCTTCGCGAGAAGAAACGCGATTGCTCATGCTGTTCCTTGATGTCATACATCCAATCACGCATACATTCTGCAAGCTGGAAAGCAACACTGAGCGTAATTGGATGCTTAATCGAATCATCAGCCGTGACGACTTATTTAGCTCAGCTCTCAGTGTCAGCGCCTGCTTCGAGCACTCGTTGACTCAACGGGCTAGTGTGAATGAGATTGGACTATGTCCAAAATTGAGCAGGCTGCAGAGCCGGTCTATTGCGATACTTCGGGGAGAGGTCGATCGTTTTTCTCTCATGGACCCGTTACCAGTGGAAGTTTTTGTTTGGGCTGGGTTCCACCTTGTTGATGTCATCGCCAATTTGGAGACGCTCGAGATCTTCAGTATGCTCCAGGGTCAATGGGAGGTCCATCACCAGGCTGCAAGGAAGGTCTTGAATCATATTGAGACTTCTGTTCCACTCGAGAGTCGCACTTCAGTATCAGTGATAGCAGACGTATTGTCCAGCTTGCCTGAAGGTGATGTACGACGACGATCGCTGCAACTTTCCATCTTTAACTTTATTTGGATTGATGTTCTGGCTACGTCTACTTTTGGTGCGGCGTCATACTGCCCTTGCGCCTTCGACTACCTGCCTCTTCTAGATTCTGGTACAATCAGGTCTCAGGACTTTATGGGTTGTCAGAGCCAAGTTTTTGCAATTATCTCCAGAATTGCAAGACTTGAGCAATTACAGCTGATGCAGCAAGGTGAAATCCACCAGGAGTTTACAGGACCGGAATTACAACGACAATACTGCGAACTTGAACAACAACTTGACCATGTCTGCCAGACTCTTCAAGAAGACATCGAGGGCCTGGCAAGTGTGCCTCCAGGTCTAGACCTCGATGCTGCAGTGATCAGTCTCATCTGGGCTTTTGGTGCCAGAGTCTTGCTGCAAGTGGCAATTGCTCCAATTATGTTCGAGCAAAGTAGTATGGGCCAGACCTTTGTTAATCTTTGCCTGGAGAAGCTTGAGACTCTCCCTACACGTCTTGTGATGCGGACGGCCTGGCCGTACACTATCAGTGGCTGTATGGCCATGATCGAGTCACAACATCACCGGTTTCGTCAAATCCTCCATCAGGTGCTGCAAGAAGCACAGGCCCCTGGAATAACATGGAAAGGACTTATTGTCATGGAGGAGTGTTGGAGACTTCGAAGAATGCACCCTGGTCAATTTTTCGGGTGGAGAGAAGCTATGGAGAGTCTTGGTGCCAGGGTAATTTTGACGTAACAGTGCATCAGGTTGTACGGTGACAGATAGAACAGAGATTGTAGATAGGTGCCGGAAAATGCTTCTGCTCAAACCATTGAACCCTACGCATATTGCGATGTTGGGAGCTTCGTGGCATGTTCTAGGCCCCAATTTGTTACCCAAATTTCCATATAACCAGAGCTCCCCAGGTAATGCCACCGACTATACCTGCTCGCGTCAAACGCTCGGCACCGTTCCCCGTTTCTTGGGACATGTCGGACGCAATCACGGCCGACGCTGATGCCAAGGCAACAGAATCAGAACTTCCTTTCACCGCATCGCAAATCTGTTGGCGCACGTCCCAGAGGCCTGATACAGTTACCGTCAGATGACGCCTCACACATCTGTTGTTGACTCACTTTTGAATATTTTGATAGTGCACTCGTTCCCGAGACATTGTTCGAAATGGTCGGCAAACGCATCGCTATGCGAGCACATGCATTCTAGGTCAGTGCCGGCGCATCCAATCTCCTTCCCGGATGTCCAGATACACTTTATACCGCAGTCTGGGACTGAAGAGAGATCAGAAGCAAGGACAAAAGGGTCGGTGGCGGTAGTTGCGCTAGTAGTGTCTGCGGTAGTAGAAGAAGCCGCTAAGACGAGCCGAAAGGCCGCAAGAATAAGGAGATTACGGGAGGTCATTGGGATTCTGACATATGGTAGAAGGCCGAGGATACGGGAGACAGCATATTATTCCAGGAGTTTCGGGAAGTAGAATATTGGATAAGCAATTTATCGGTGTCAAAGACAGAATCGTCTTGCTGTGAGCTATTTACAGGGCTCGGCTTTCGGCACACCGAGCATGACGTTGCGCAACTAAGCCGAAATAAGTAGTCCAACCAGATTGCTGGGAAATTTTCATCAACAGACTAGACATGGTCAAATTGATTAAAAGAGTCCTTATAGTCATCTTCTTTAAGTAATACATCCTAACTATGAACTTGTAACAAAGCTAACGAGAGATCGAGGAGGAATTGTAGTCTGAAAAGAACCCTTTCCAGTAGCCTTCAAGTCCCCCAAAGCAGTCAAATCATTAGAATTATCTGTTAGAAATGGCTTCAAGCTATGAGGAGTTCGGCCCGTGCCAGAAACAACGAGTTGAACATTGCGAGGAACCGTGTCATTGTTAAGCACCTGCGTCGCGACAGTACCGTCCGTGTTGAGAAATGAACTGACTGTGATCAAAGGAACAGAGCTCGTGGCTTCGATGCGACGAGCACCAGGGCGAGCAAATCGACTGAATGATGCAAAAGCCCAGAACCTCTTGGACGGAATGACCTTGTCGCCGATCATGTTGATAAGAGCGCTGTTGGTAGTCGAGTTCTCGGCTCCGATCCAATAAAGAAACCCGCTGACGTTGGCATCGACAAGAGCTGTCTGGATACGGCCAGCCCAGGTCATGCCTTCACCCTGGCCGCTGTTGTTGTAGAATGTGTAGGGCGTGAACTGGCCTGTGAGATCAGCCCACTCGGTGAGCCATGTCTTCTTTGTTGTTGAAAGTGGATGGTTCGGTGGTGAAACGTATCCGTGGCCAGTAACGATGCTGAGGTAGTTGATCGCAGGATCAGGTCCAGCAGTCAAGCCAGCCATCATGTCCTCTTGCAGGTCCCAACCCTCGCCATCACAACAAGCGATAGTGAGATCATGAATACCTCGCTTTTGGATCGTCTTGCCCAGCACACGTATGAAGTCAGCAGCTTGTGTGCCGTTGGATAGCATGCCAGCGTAGGAAGCGGCGAACTGAGGCTCGTTAAGGAACCCCAGGTTGGTGACCTTGACGCCTGACCTACGGTAGAACTCAACCCACTGCAACAAATAGTCTGCATAGGCCTGCTTCCAGTCGCCAGAAGGGCAGGTAGCGCCTGTTACTCCGCAGAGATAGCCTCCATTATTTTCATCATGGTTTGTTTTCATGTACCCTGGGGCGGACCAAGCATCGCCATAGAGGAACTTCAACCCTCTCTTGGATGCTTCTTTAGCGACGGTGAGCTGACCACTGTCATAACCGTCCCAGACGTAGTGTGGCTTTGCCCCAGGTGAGCCTGGTGTAAAGGGCTCGATTGAGTTCATGAAGTTCTTGTCAGAACTGTTGCTTGAGCCAATGCCATTACGCAGGATGGAAAAGCCTGCACCGATATCCTTACTGAACAGCAAGTCCAGTACATGCTGAGTCCCTTTTTGAGATAGACCGTCTTTTCCAAGAATGTCTTCGGCCCGCTGGAATGCTTGCGAAGCGCCAAATCCGTCAAGCTCTTGGTGTTTGACGTGACCATTCACAGAAATCAAGACTTCAGAGTCCGAGTTTGAGTCCGTGGGTAAGGCCGCCACGAAGGCTGGAGCTATGTAGCCCAGGAGGTTCAAGGCGGCAAGGCCAAAAGCTATCGGACCCATGGCTGTTCAAGATGGGCTGAAATGGTATGGAGAAAGATATGTAAGAATCAGCTCTGTTTGGCTTCGGAGAGGAGCCTGCCATGAACTGGGTTGCTTCTCTGCCAATCAGCAAGAATAATCATTCCGCTACACTTCTTATAGATAATCAGAATGCTGAGCTGTCTTTACCTCGGCGTACATACCTTGCCTGATCGACCCCTGGACATTAACATCATCCAAGGCGTCTGGCATCGGCATGCTCACCGGACCATTTGATGCAGCGTCATCATCCCATTAACTACAATATTACTTAGATAGTCCTCAATAGGCTATATAGGTGGTCTTGTCATTAGCCGTTAGAGCCCTACATTATCTGTTAGTTAGGTGAACAGGAACAGCAAGCATAATGGTTGTAGGTACTCTTGATGAGTTTAACCAGAGTTCTGGTTAAATTCGAGCTCGCCTTTCGTCTATCTAATACCCCGCACAATAGTCAACCTCCCCGGACCAGAATCAAAGTCAATCTCCATTGATTGCGACTGTGGGGGAACATTTTCGTCTTTAGTATGTGCTTCTTCAGTGCCGAGTTTGCCGGCCCTTGACAAGCTCCACCCCCGCAAATGTCTCCACTTTCCCCCGGACCTGGCTTGGATGCGTTAACTCTTGCGCCGATAACTACCGACTCTCCTATCAAATAACCGCTCATCATGTCCATAAGTGTCTCCTTGTTGGTTTTGCCATGTGTTCTTTTAACTATGATACGAATAATAGGCTAAATCGAATCAAACCAGCCCTTCGGGCGCCTTTAATCCCTGCATGCTCAGAGTCAGTCTACGGTGCCGTCTTTGCCGAAGAGCGAGTAGTCCACTTCCCCATGAGCCATATCTAAAATAACCCTGAATCTACTTCTGCTACCACCTTAGAGTGGAGCCAGCTGAATCCCTGAGCATCATTGTATATGAAGAAGACGAAGATCCTACCTCATTTATCTGGATCGTTGCTAATAGCTTTTGTGTGTCTATCAATTTGACAGTATCTAGTAGTGCATTTCTTAACCTCACCATTCCCATCCTGCGCCTACTTCAAATCAACTCTTCAAGCATACTGAAACAATAGAAACAGTATGGCAGAAAAGCGCGCCGATACCATCGAAACGGCGCCACCAGATGGCCATCATGGCTGGACAGGCGACACCTCTGCTGAGGCTCGCGCTGCTACAGAGGCAGAACATTCCCTCAGCATCCGCCAGGCCATCCAGAAATACCCTAAGGCCTGTTTCTGGTCCTGCGTTGTGTCGCTTGTAATCATTATGGATGGTTACGACACAGCCCTGCTTGGATCACTTTTCGCCTTTCCCAACTTCCAACAGCGTTTCGGCATCCCCAACCCTGCGAAGCCAGGTACCTACCAGCTCGAGCCCAAGTGGCAGACAGCTCTTGGCTTGGCCAGTTCCCTGGGAGGCATTGTTGGTATTTTCTTCAACACGTGGATGACGGAGAGGATCGGACACAAAAAGACTCTTCTGATCTCTTTATTCTGGCTGACTGGAACCATCTTCATCTCCTTCTTTGCCCCGTCAGTCGAGGTTCTGTTCGTTGGTCAACTACTTTGTGGACTGGGATGGGGTGTCTTCACGACAATGGGACCTGCGTATGCCTCTGAAGTTGCGCCGGTTGTCCTTCGTGCGTACCTTGAAACATATGTTGTCCTATGCTGGGGCATTGGTCAGCTCCTTTCTTACGCTGTCCTGGACTCACTTGTTGGCAACACGAGTATATGGGCCTGGAGAATTCCATTTGCCGTGCAGTGGGTATGGCCTGTCATTATCGCACCTCTGATGTTCTTTTGCCCCGAGTCTCCTTGGTGGCTGGTCCGCAGTGGAAGATTGGAAGAAGCCAAGAAATCCCTGAAGAGGCTTACATCGATGTCAGACCAAGAGCTTCAGAACCAGCTGTCTCTCATGGTGGAAACCACGGAGCTGGAGCGCAGCATCACAGAGGGAGCTTCGTATCTCGACTGCGTCAGGGGCTCCAACCTCTGGCGCACGGAAATCGCTTGTGTTGCCTGGGCTAGCCAAGTCCTGGTTGGCTTCGGTGTCTCCTCTTATGCCACTTACTTTTTCGAACAAGCCGGCATGTCGACCAAGGATGCTTACAAGTTGACTGTTGGCCAAGGTGGTCTACACTTTGTCACCGTCCTTCTGTCTGTTTTCATCATCGCGCGACATGGACGGCGATCGATTTACATCTGGGGCTGCCTCCTTATGTCCGCTGCTATGTTTGTAATTGGCTTCGTAGCTATCCCGCGCCAAAGCAGTGCCACAGGAGGCGTCTCTGCAGCCTTCTATTACGTCTGGTACTCTACGTACGAAATGACCATTGGTCCAATCGCCTACATCATCGTCGCCGAGGTCTCCTCTACACGCCTGCGCTCCAAGACAATTGGTCTGGCTCGTAATGCCTACAACGTCATCAATATTGCTGCCACATGCGTTGTTCCTCATATACTTAACCCCACTGCTGCAAACTGGAAGGGCAAGTCTGCCTTTCTGGCTGCGGGCTTTTGTATCCTCTGCGCCGTTTGGGCTTGGTTCCGTCTTCCTGAGCTGAAAGGCCGCACGTACGAGGAGCTTGATATCCTGTTCACAAAAGATCTATCTGCGCGAGAGTTTAAGGGCTACGAATTCGATAATGATATCGATGTTGATGAGAAGCTGGGTGTTGAGCATAAAGAATGAATTCACGTCTTGAGAGGTTAAGGGGTTTGAAGCTTTAGGAAGTAAGCTTGTTAGCCACTGTAATCTATTTAGTTTTAGATAGGAAGGTATAGTTCAGTTACAAATATAGCAATCCATTCTTTCAGTTTTATATTAGTTCCTCATTTTGAGACTAGCTCTGCCTTGTATAATGCCTTGCACTCCAATGGCCATACCTTTGGCCAGTCTTCACTGCCCTCAGGTGCAGATTAATAAGTTTGAGATTCTATCTTTGTCTGGAAGAGACAACTGTTTCCTTATGGTTAACTCAAAGGGCATGCTAAAAATGAGTCACACTTCAGGCTCAGTATACATTGTCAGCTGAACCTTTAACGCGAAGGCATTCCTCTTAGAACTTGGGTACTCAACGTGGTTGTTTCTCGGCCACGGGCTGTATCTCATGGAGAGAATGCCGATCTGCAGGGTAACCCTGGCTAAAACCACGATCTGCGCAAGACCTCGTTGGAACTAGTGCGGGGTTGGGGCAATGCAACCGGCAACCTCAACTCCCCTCTTTCATCTAGCACATTTACCCGGGCCTAGTACAGAAATCGGCTACGAAATGCCGAGCGAGACTGCGTGGGGGACTAAAGTGTCACTCATATTCTGTACTTTTACCCGCTTTAGCGTAAGAATCGGCTGCCAGATGCCGCGCGAGACCCGCTCAATCTGGCCGCTCAGCTAATGAGGTGCATGTGTTGCTATTGGACCCTGATCTCAGCCTGACATACGATATTCTCCATTATCATGGTTTGCGTTCACATGTGCTCCAAGCATGACATCTCAATTGCCCAAAGTTATCCGCCGAAATCGCTCCTTGCAATCAATCCGTGGCTGGTTATACTCTTAAGAGCTGGAATCCCTCGACCTCCTTCATGGATCACGATTTCATCAGAGAAGTCTGCATCTAGTAACAAACATCCCCAAAGCCTTGAGAATGCTTCACCCAGAGACTGGAATTGACGCTTGGCTGCGCTACGCCCCTCTATCCGAGGGCTTGCGCAGCCTTCATAAGCCAGTTTCCAGCATCATTGCTCTGAGTACCAACCCATCAAGTCCAGTCTTTGTCGCGGGAGAGGAGCTTCAATGTGGCCTCGAACGTATCCTCAGACAAAGCGTACAAGTTGAATCTCGCCTTGACGCTGACTCTGGACGTTCAATTATAGTCGGCACTTTGTCAACACTGCAGGCGAATGGAGGCGATCGCCTCCTTCAGTCGGTACCTGCTCTTGATGAAGATGGGTTTTGGCTTGACATAAATGTTGACGGAAGCAACGGCATTCACATTGTCGGCCAAAATGAGCGTGGAGCTATTTATGGAGCATTCGAATACCTCTCTCTCCTTGCACAGGGGAAACTGGCCAAGACCAATGTCCAACTGGCATACAATCCCGGAGCGCCTATCAGATACGTCAATGAATGGGACAACCTTGACGGCAGCATAGAAAGAGGCTACGGAGGGAAGTCCATATTTTTCCGTGACGGCGAGGTCTTGAAGGACTTGTCTCGCGTTCGCCAATATGCTCGATTATTGGCCTCAATCCGCATCAATGGCTGCATTGTGAACAACGTCAACTCGAGCCACAATCTTCTCAACGAAACTAACCTCGATGGGCTGGGTCGAATCGCCGATATAATGCGTCCCTACGGAGTACGTATTGGCGTTTCACTTTTCTTCGATACTCCTCGAGGCCTCGCGGGTCTGCCAACATCAGATCCCCTTGATCCTGATGTCATCAAGTTCTGGGAGGATATAACGGCCAAACTGTACAAGCGTGTCCCAGATATGCTTGGATATACCATCAAGGCCAACTCAGAAGGTCAACCGGGTCCTCTGACATATAGTCGCACACTTGCACAGGGAGCCAACATGTTCGCCCGTGCCTTGAAACCTCACGGTGATGGCATCGTTATGTATCGAGCTTTTGTTTACAACCATCACCTGGATGAGTCCGATCTCAAGAATGACAGAGCCAACGCCGCGGTTGAGTATTTCGCTCACCTTGATGGCGAGTTCGAAGATAATGTCATCATCCAGATCAAATTTGGTCCAATAGACTTCCAGATTCGTGAGCCCCCCTCGACTCTGTTCGCCAATCTCCGGAAGACTCCCGTCATCTGTGAGTTCATGGTGTGTCAAGAGTATCTGGGTCAGCAGTCACATTACGTGTACATGGCCCCAGAATGGGAGACGATTCTCGGCTTCGACATGCGTATTGACGACAAGCCTTCGCTTGTAAGAGATATCGCCTCTGGCAAGGTCCATGGTTTGAACAAGGGCGGTTATGCTGCAGTGACCAACATTGGGGATGACCCTACATGGCTGGGACACCATCTGTCTATGTCAAACCTGTATGCATACGGTCGATTGTGCTGGGACGCGGCTATTCCAGCGCAGAATATCCTGCTGGATTGGATTCGCCTGACATTTACTGCGGAGAATCAGAAGGTGATAGACACCATCCGCGAGATTGGAATGGAATCATGGCCTACATATGAAGCCTACAGCGGTAATCTCGGGATCCAAACCCTGTGCGACATCCTCTACACGCACTACGGCCCTAGCCCGGGTTCACAAGATGGAAACGGCTGGGGCCAATGGACTCGTGCCGATAGCAAGGCACTCGGCATGGACCGCACAGCAGCCACTGGGACGGGTTATGCAGCTCAATATCCACCTCAGGTCGCTGCTCAGTTTGAGAGTATCGAGACAACGCCAGATGATCTACTTTTGTGGTTTCATCACGTTCCGTATACGCACAAGCTTAAGTCTGGTAAAACCGTAATCCAGCACATATACGATGCCCACTACGAAGGCTCCGCAAATGCTCAGACATTTGTGACGAGGTGGGCAGCTCTGAAGGGCCTGATAGACGAAACTCGGTTTGAGCACGTTACCTTCAAGCTTGCGTATCAAGCAGGCCACTCACTCGTCTGGCGTGACTCGGTGAACAACTTTTATCTGGCCAAGTGCGGCATCCCGGATGACAAGAACCGCGTCGGGAACTATCCGTGGCGTATAGAAGCCGAAAGCATGCAGCTAAATGGCTACACCATTGTTGGCGTGACGCCTCCAGAAGCAGCGTCTGGTGGTCGTGCCATCGTAGCATCATCGTTGGAAAAGGCTGTTGCAACCACGACACTAACGTTCCCCTCAAGAAGGTATGACATTGCTGTCAACTATTTTGATCACACTGGTGGGCATGCACGGTATGAGGTTCTTCTAGATGGAAAGGCTGTCGGAGAGTGGACAAGTGACCTTGACACACGGCTCGGCCATGACTTTTCAGAGTATCTAGACGGACATTCAGCCACGAGAGTTTACTTCCGTGGTGTTGACGTCCGAGAGGGTTCCGAGCTGACAGTGATCGGTCACGCAGATGGAAAAGACATGGCATCACTTGATTATATCTCGGTTTTACCGGAAGGCGTGGTGGATTGAACAGCCAGTGCCAGTAAGGCTAAAGGGTTCTATTGCGAACATTCAAACGTATCCTCAGGTACGGTACTGGGAAGCTTCGCCGCATAGACTCAGCTTAGGAAGTATTCAGTCTTATTATCCAAGACTAGACGCGATTGATTACATTCAGTGTTCGATTATGGGCGTCATGAAAAATGGAGGTAATTGATGAGGTAGTACTTCACATGCATGAAGGTCAAATCTTAATGTAGGATAGGATATCAAAATAAACCTGGGAAAAGGTATCCTAGACTCAACAGAGATATCCTGAATTTATGCAAAGTTACCTAAGTCTCTTAATCATGTAGGATCAAGGTCATAGGCTTCCAAGACTGAAGCTCTGACGTGTGATCTCTCCACTTGTATGGCACCTTTGCATTTAACCGGCATTAAGGTTCTTCACTTGAGGGGTTTTCTGCATTAGCTAAAATGAAACCTTCAGCACCGTGGCCAAGTAGCGTGCCCTTTTGTCACCCCCGTTCTTCGCAATCAAAATCTCACTCACCGGCGACCTAACCCTCCCAAGAAAGCGACAGGTATATGCACGACTCTTGAAACAGAGAAATTCCAGTCATTACTCCGAGATGAAATCTCTGTTCAAGTGGGTGACAGTCTGGGCACCAACACCTCAGCCTACTGAGGAGGCAGATATGCCATCCTGTCTATTTGTAAGCCAGGCCAAACTACTCTTCGTTCACCCTAATACTTGGCCAGACGCAGCATGAGGTTGCTTTTCAGAATACCACCATCCGACAGACTTTGAGGGTGACAGCAGGCGGGGACTATATCCGGATTCGCCTGACGAACCTGTTTGGGCTGGAGATATTGCACATCTCAAGCGTTGTGATTGCTGTTCCTCGGCCGCATGACTCACTCAATCCCGGTGGTTCTCCCTCTATCATTAAGGGCACAGCACAGCAGGTTTTGTTTGATGGCGAACAACCGACCTCAGTGCCTGGCGGCTCCCACGTGGTATCAGACTCTCTCAAATTTCCAGCCAAGGCGGGACAAGTCCTGTCAATTACCATCTTTCTCCAGAAAGGCCATCATTCTCAACAAATAACCTCCCATCCTGGAAGTCGCACAGACTCCTGGCTTTGTCATGGCGACCAGTCGATGGCATCTGAACTCTCCGGCCCTGACTTGCAGTCGTCGACACATTGGTATTTCCTCTCTGGAGTCGAAATATGTCTAGATGCTGCTCATCATGGAACCCTGGTTCTTTTGGGCGATAGCATAACCGACGGACGCTGTAGCACGGATAATGCAAATAACCGCTGGCCTGACCTTTTATTTGAACGCATGCAGCGGCATCCATACGCGCAGAATATTGCAATCATTAACCAGGCCGTGGGCGGTGGAAAGGTTCTACAAGATGGAAAAGGACCAAGTCTTTTGAGTCGCCTGGATCGCGACGCTATTGCTCAGCCAGGTCGACGTTACATCCTAGTTTTCCATGGAGTAAACGACCTTGGAACGGCGGGTTCTGACATAGTATCCTTGCAGGAGGTCACAAGGGCTCTCAAAAAGGCTTATCGCCAGATTGTCTCGCGCTGCCATGCGCACGATTTGCATGTCTTGGGTGCCACTATTGGGCCGATGGGTGGTAACGAACCTTATGGAACCTGCGAACTGCGTGAAAGAGCGCGCCAGGATGTGAACGATTGGATCAGGACGTCTGGCGTATTTGACGCAGTGGTAGACTTTGACTATGTCCTGCGATCTACTAAAGATGTTGGTCGATTGAAGGAAGAGTACGACTCTGGAGACCACTTGCACCCAAACGTTGCAGCGTTCCAAGCGATGGCAGCTGCCTTTCCATTGGACGTATTTAAGCCATTCGACCCATTTGAGACTTCTCGCTAAGAGCTTATATCATCAGAGAGACCTTAGGACAGTTTGGCCCATATCTTTAAAGACTGTAGGAGCTCTTCCTCCACTTAAAGGATGATCTTCTGGCCCCACATGAATCCCAAGTCCGTTGGCCGCTCCTTGCTTCTCTAGTTAGTGGCATGCACATCCAACAGTTTTCGAAACCGCTAAAATCTTGATCTTGGTGTCCAGCTGCTCGAGATTGCCATTGTCAAGGGAGGTATCTCGGCATATGATGCTTGAGGCTCCCGAGTTTGTGATGCTATTACCCACACTACGTAGCCGCTTTCAGGCTGTAAGTGAGCGAATATCCGCATCACATGTAGCATTGATCTATACTAATTGGCTGGCCAAAAGTCTTGGACTGGCATAAGAAGCTGGCGTAGTCTCAATCTGGCTAAACAGAATATACCAGCATATAAAAGATGGTCTATACTTATTCTTTTTACCGAATGGCGACTAGTTTTAATATGAAAACTGGACTTCTCACAACTAAAAGAAACTTCAGTATCTCGCGATAACCAAGCCGTGATATCCATGTTGTGGATATCACAAGTCACATGGCTGGCGTAAGAACTGTAATAGGCCAACTCGGAAGTCGGAAGTCGATGACAATACTAGCGCTTCTGGTGATTTACCCGATTGGGACGACAAACGGGAAATCGGCAAATATCTTGTCTTACATGAGAAGGGATCTACCAGGTATAAGGTCAACATTTTCGCGTTCAAAATCTGTTCAATTTCTGTAATTCCCTGCACCATAATTTCTCATCATGTCTGACACTCAACCGGATGAGATAAGGAGCACAAATGATGCTCAGCATGAAAGCAAGACCGCCAATCCTTCCATCAGCGTTGAAGGCATGACGCAAGATGTCGTACACCGTCGCCAAAGAATATCAGACCTCTTTACAATTCTTTGTGCAGGAGCAGCACTCATCTCAGATGGCTATCAGAATAACTTGATGACTATGTCGAATGTGCTGTTCAAGAAGGAATATCATGAGCAGTACACTTCGTCTGTCAGTACTCGGGTATCCAACGCTCTCCTCGTTGGTGAGATTCTCGGTCAGATTGCCATTGGCCTCACGTGCGACTACCTTGGACGAAAGACAGCCATTGTGCTGACCACAATGTGCATTGTTGTCGGCGGTATCCTAGCCACAGTGGCACACGGCACGACTATCGATGGAATGTTTTGGATGCTGACAGTTGCTCGAGGTGTCGTTGGTTTTGGAACTGGTGGCGAATATCCTGCGAGTAGCACATCTGCTTCTGAGTCTGCCAATGAGCGAGCACTGGACAAACGAGGACCGATATTCATCCTTGTTACAAATTTGCCGCTATCTTTTGGAGGTCCGCTTGCAGTGTCTATTTTCATGATTGTTCTTTCAGCCGCTGGAACTGACAATCTCTCGACTGTGTGGCGTGTCTGTTTTGGAATCGGGATCTTGCTACCCCTCACTGTCTTCTATTTTCGTATACGCATGCTCAACTCAAAGCTCTACCGTCAAGGTGCCATTAAACGAAGGGTTCCTTATGTCCTCGTTCTTCGCTACTATTGGAAAACCCTGATAGGCACTTGTGGTGCTTGGTTCCTCTACGACTTTGTCACATTTCCAAATGGGGTCTTCTCGGGCACCATACTTGCCTCGGTCGTACCTGAGGGCGGCAACACACTCCTACACACGGCAGAATGGCAGCTACTCCTCGGTTGCATTGCCCTGCCTGGGGTATTCATTGGTGCATGGATGTGCGACAGAGTTGGCAGGAAAAACACCATGATGATAGGGTTCGCGGGGTACTTGGTGTTTGGTCTGATCATCGGCTGTGCATATGACCAAATTACCAAGATTGTCCCCTTGTTTGTGATATTCTACGGTCTGATGCAATCTTCTGGGAATCTCGGTCCTGGAGACATGCTTGGTCTGCTCTCATCCGAGAGCTACGCCACGAGTGTTCGCGGAACGTGTTACGGCATCAGTGCAGCGCTGGGCAAAACTGGAGCAGCTGTAGGAACGCAGGTTTTTAAGCCGATTCAGCTGAATCTAGGGAAGCGTTGGACATTTATCATTGCTGCAATTTGCGGAGTGACGGGAATTTTGGTTACGTATTTCTTTGTCCCGAATGTCACGGGAGAGGACTTGAGCAAAAATGATGAGAGGTTCCGTACGTACCTTGTGCATCATGGGTGGAATGGGGAGATTGGGGAAGGGGACTTGAAATCTTCTGCTGATGGCATCAGTTCAGTTATGGAGGGGAAAACAAATCCTTGATTATCACAGGTAGCCAATAATATGACTACTCACAAGAGGCAAGCACCGCAGCATTCAAACTGCAGGTTCAAAATCCAATCCCAAAGCTTATCTATAGCGTTGATCAACTCTTTTCGGCCACCAAACTGTCTGCCTTGAGGATCGTTAAAAATTCATTTGCGCCGCCAGTCAACAAATGACTTTGCTCGTACCCTGGACCTCCAAATCGCCCAAGTTTTCTCTCTTTCCGACCCGAACAACGTACTGAAAGCGCTAGTCCAAATATATATAGATACCCAAGAAAAAGTGGATGATCATTGCAGTGCGGAATACGGTGCAAACTGATAAATTCGGCGACTTGACTCCACACACCCTAGTGCACACCATGCACTTGCACAGTGCACGGGACAAGTGTTTATCATACGTTATTTTAGAGTCTAGAGATGCAGGATGGAGGACTTATCACAGCCCAGACTGATAGTGTCATCAAGGGTCATTCTCTAAATGGATTAGTGTGCAGAATCTAGCCCCCGTCCAACAGCGCTTGTATTGCCGTTTCAAGCTTCCCAGCTCTCTTGGGAAACAGTGTAAATTGCTTTACTGTCGGTACCAGGCACATTCCCCTACCTAGGTCCGATTCCATTTGTAACGTTTTGAAGCAAAGTCATCATTAGCATCTCGTCGCATCGCTGTCAACACGGATCCCACGCCTCTTTTGGTCTGTTGCGAACTGATTCATCTCACAACGCCACCTCACAAGCCAAATCAAACCAACCGGATTCAACATGGCCCTGGACGGAGTCAAACTCCATATGGTTTTCGCCGGCCGTGGCGCCAGCTTCATTCTAGAAGTAACAGACGGCATGGGTAACCGCAAGGTAGTACTTATCGACGGAGGTCCTGCTGGACACAGGCATGGTACAACTGGAGCGCCATACTCTCGCTATCTTATGGCGGCGATTCGTAGAGTTTGGGGTAACCTTGGACGTGTTGAGGGCTTGATATCAGGAGCTAGGGCTTAACGTTAAGTTCTTTCCACTGCAAGTTAACAACTTTCAACATCTCGGGATATAGTGCCAACGGTCGGGAGGATTCTAATCATTATGGAGTTGCTTTTCTTTATTTTCTCCCTATCTAGCTATTTTCTATAGCTGTTGCTGGCCTTGACTTATGCTATTTACAACGGGGCACTGTAACCGCGGCATTGTGAAATAGTGTATAGCTCTGGCCTAGTAAGCGCTGGAAAAACAGTAACTGTTAGGCTATGGCTATATTAACGAGAAGCTAAAGCGGGCATGCCAAGCGCCGTGGAAGGATATTGTAAGGAACTAGAAAAGCAATCTGTCAGTAAATAATAAGCGCAAATCAATATAGTAATTAGCAAGGTAAGTCTAAATAGAGATAATAGCAGTAGTTTGATAACGGAAGTATAATGGAGGAGGTTTTGCATTATGTTGCGCATAATGAAGCGTCTCTAGGGCTTAGGCAGTAAGAATGGTAATGATGACGATGACGATATCCAGACTTAAAGGTGATAGGACTATGGCTTAGCGGAACCGTTTCCATCCGGCTCATGTTAAGTCAATTGTTTCAAACAAAATTGCAAAGAGCTAATTGGTTGCTTAATCCCTAATCGGCATTGCGATCACAGGATAAGATCCGCCGAGCAGTGATCTAACTCGGTCTGGCAATGGCGCACTGTCGATCCATGAACTATCAGCGCCACTCTCTGCCGGGAGAGATTCTTTCCGTGCCCTTGACTCCTTTTGGATTTCATAGTGTCTCATAACGGCAAGCGGCATCTTTGTTCGGATGAGCCTGTTTCCGAGATTGTGCTACTGTGGGACGTGCTGGCTTGAGGTCGAGCTGTACGTAGAATGGAGCCGGTATGTGTAAGAGCCGCTTGGGCTAGATTTTGGGAATTGGTTCCAGGGGGATTTCTTGATTGACAAGTTTAATTATTCGAAATGTCTACACAATGGATCTCAACAGGGACTGCTTTTCCAAGTAGTCAAACGATCACCCATACCGACAACGATGCAGAAAAGGGCCTCTGTGACAGGTCGAGCCTTCCGACATTGCCACCCCCTGTCCACGTTCCCTCAGAGCCAACAGCTACAGAACAACGGTCGAAGAAGATACCGAGTCTCAATGCAAAGCCAATACCAATAAAGAAGCCTGTTAGTCGATGGATATCGTTCCATCTATGGTTCAATACATACCGAAAGTTGTTTGTCTTGTGTACCTCCCTGAACCTGGCTGCGATGATATCAGCTGGTCTTGGTCACTTCTCCTATGCTGTCAATAACTCCGGGGCAATGGTACTTGGCAACCTCCTATTCGCAGTCCTTGTACGAAACGAACTGTTTATAAGACTCCTCTACACGCTGACCATATGTACTTTACGAAATGTATGTAAGCCTGGCGCTAGATATGAGATGTATACTAACGGAATGTAGTGGGCTCCTTTGCGGCTACGTTTGGCAGCGACGTCGACCTTACAACATATTGGCGGCCTGCACTCCGGTTGCGGGTTATCAGCAGCGGTGTAAGAGTCCCTTATAAGTGTACAATTATAACCCGTCCCTAATACAGATAAATAGTTGGTTCATACTCAAACTCGCTCACATGATCCGCCAACGGGCGATGCAACATAGCTCCGTTATTGCAACGGGTGTTATTACAAGCATATTGATATGTATCTCTGTACTCAGTGCCTTGCCGTGGATTCGCAAGTAAGCCTCCCACAAGTCTATGCCCATATCTCGGTAACAAAGCTGACAAGAGTTTGGCAGTAACTATCACAATACCTTCGAGATATATCACCGCCTTGTTGGTTGGCTAGGACTTGCAGTAGGTCCTTCTAAGCTATCTGGAGTCGTAATTCTAACCATGGCCCTTAGATGACATGGGCGTTTGTTATCCTAAGCAATATAAATACCAAAGGTCATGGAAGATTGCTGCGCGGACAAGAAGTATGGTTTGCTATCTTTATCACGATCCTGTACGCCTAATCCCTTCCAGTCTCTCAACATAGTTAACATCTGCCAGCATCGCCCTTCCGTGGGCCACACTCCGAGAGGTCCCAGTACAAGTAGAGTTTGTAAGCAAATAATATCGAATCTTATCCAGGTATGAGCTAACAAGGCAGCCTTCGCCTAAAGTTGCCATCATTCGGTTCGATCGAGGAATGCAACAAGGACTCACCGGAAGGATAAGCCGAACCGCTGTCAAGGAATTCCACGCCTTTGGTATTATTAGCGAGGGTATTAATTCTCCATACCACTACATGGTATGTGGTGTCCAGGGCGACTTTACAAGAAAGATTCTTTCAGATCCGCCAAAGACGCTATGGACAAGAGAACTTAAGTTCGGTAAGATAGCTTATCGCTTGATAACGCTCTGAGCTCACAGAATCCAGCTGGTGTTGGGCATTCTTCTGCCATGTACAAGAGAGGAATCCGGGTTTGCACCGGAACAGGTATTGGAGCTGCGCTGTCTACCTGCATGCAAAGTCCAAACTGGTATGGTTTGACATAACATCAGTGTATATACTTCACCAAGAGCTAACACGATAAATTAGGTTTCTTATCTGGATTGGCTCAGACCAAGATAAGACATTCGGCTCAATAATAACAGACCTTATTTATAAACACATCGAACCGAAACGTATGATTCTATGGGACACGAAAAAGGAAGGCAAAAGACCAGATGCAATACAATTAATAAAAGAAACCTGGCAGCGGTTTGAAGCTGAAGTTATTTTTATAACATCTAATAGACAGGGGAACGATGAAATAATGCAAGGATGCTATATAGGTATGTTCTTAATTACTATTAATAAGGATGTTACTAATATTACATAGAAAATATCCCTGCATTCGGAACCCTCTGGGACTTTTAAGTACTCGACTTTTAGTTAAACTATAGTGGAAAAACTAAATGTAACATGCTCGCTAAAGGCAATAAGCCAGGCACCTGTCTAAAATGTAAATTAACTTTATTAAAGAGTCTAATACAAACAAAGAGACAGTATATAAGTCAAATTCTTATTTTAATATTAGTTTGCGACCCAAGATAGTTGCCAAGTCTATCAATTCTATTCCTCAGACTCCTTGCATCTACTCTCATCCCTTATTCCGCAATGGCCGCGGCCTTCTTCTTATCACTACTCCGGAAGTGGCGTCGAACCTATTGAGTCAGGGCGCATTAGATAAGAGGGACCAATGCGACTCCCATGGCTCATAATCTCCGGGGGATTTCATGCCAGGCCCTGTATTGGAACCCGAATCCGGTATCCCGGCTTATGAAGTACGAAGCTTACCAGGAAGTGGCAAGGGTGTTACTGCTCTTCGTCCTATCAAATGAGACGAAGCTTTCCTACTAGATCTTCCAACTATCCTCATTGCATAGAACTTGATCGGGCTGTTTTGGGATAAGACTCAGGAATCATTTCTCGAAAGTGCACTCATCCATCTGCCCAAGGACGCCAAAAGAAGAGTACTCGGACTGTCTAGGGCTAACCTAGTTCCGGGTCTGCCACTCTGCGATCTGTTCAAAACCAACGTTTGCGGCTTCGTGCTAGGGCATGGAACTCCTCACATTGGTTTATTTACTGGGTTCGCGGTAAACCGTTTTGAGTGAGTATGATACCAGTATGTCATTTGCTACTGACGACGGACACTCAAAAAGAATCAACCATGCCTGTGATCCAAAGTGAGAATGTGCCTTAGCTTACTTTTGGTTATTATATTACACTAATCCGTAGCGCCAAGTGCTTTCTACAGAGTCTCTCCACGCCACTTAAGGATGGAGGTCGTTGCTTTTCACGATATTGAGCCGGGGGAAGAGATCTATATTAACTGTAAGCCACTCTGAAATAAAAGAAAAAACTCGGTGTTTTACAGTATGGACTCATAATGGTCAACAGATGCTCATGGCGCCATGCCATCCACAGAGAGTCTGACTATGGATTTAACTGCAGGTACTCCCTCTGCACCGCCCCAGAGTTGGAGCGAGCGACATCCGACCGGTACCGAAGGGAATTGGAAGCGCTGCGTGTTGATATCGATATGGAACTGAGGCAACGGCGATGGACTGATGCCGCAAAACACGCCTCCTAAGCTGTTCTGAAGCTGCTTTCCGAAGCTAAGATCCTGGCGCCAGGTATCCTCGATTACTTCCGCTGACGCCTCTCTACCTTAAGTACTACGAGGAGCTGGCAAGGTTCTATCGTAAAGTAGGAGATGTTTCCATGGCGACGAGCTAGCCCTTCAGGCGATTTCGCGCCTCCATGGAACTGATAGCTATGGCACTCAAGAGCTGAGTAGATTTTTAAAGTCCTAAAGAGAGAGCACTTTCCTTTAAACTGTATGCTTATAATAGTGTAGTTCTTAAATAATATTTTAGTATATTAAATTCAGTAAGCTAAGCAATATTCCAGATTTACTGTTATTTCTTCAATCCATTTTGTAAAAATACAGGCGCTATGTCTTAAAGGCACGATTTCTAGCTTGCCCACTGTTAAACAAGTAATCACCACGTAACGAACAGCTCAAATGGGAATTCAGAAGAGAATGATCAGTTATATTTAACAATATTCACACCGCAACAGGGCTTCTATACAACATTAACAAGTATCGATGCATTATTTAGCATAAAGCTGTTATTAACTCGAGCAAGCTGAGCCTACTTAACCCAAGGGGTCCTGTATGCCGAATTGTGGATATTTGTCCACAGAATCCCAAGTCCACTAATGCATCAGACGCAGAGTATCGATTATAGTGTTGTGCTACAGGGGACAGTGGAATTGATCCTTGACTTAGGAAAGAGCACTGTCCCCCTGGCGATGTGGTTGCATAACGAGCCACTATACATACTTGGAAAAAATCCAAGTTCTACTAAGTGGGCTAGAATTTTATTTTTTCTGCTAGACTGTTTACTAGTTATAGCTATAGAAGTATTAAAGGAAGATATTAGCCAAGCAGCAATTAATACATATTTCAGTAGTAATAATAATACTTAAACTAAATAGTTACTTTTTATAACAGGCCTTTAATTTATTTTCAAAGATATAACTCTATTATTATCTCTTACTTATTTTTACATTATAATAAAGTATAATAATATATTATTATAGTTAAAACTTGTCCCTCTTACTGTTAGATTACATTATCCTTATCGAACTCCCGGTCAGCGCGGGCAGTCGGGGCTTTTTCATCCAGGTGCAGCTCAGAGGCACGCATATCAATCTTCTTGATAACCGCCCCCAGTACCACCTTGAGCAGCTCATCTTCCGACATGGATGTTCCATGTCCGCTCCAAGTCACCGTGTCGACAATGTCTCTAGTTCCAGCCTCTTTGTGCAGCTCGTCGTCGAGATGCTGCAGTGTCTTCTGTCGTTCAAGATTCGGCCCACCCAGGCGGAACAGTTGAACACCAGCCTGGTGTATCGGCGCCTTGGCCTCATCGAGGGTCCGCGCAGCGTTGATCAAGGGCGTTTTGATGTCATCGTCGAATTGGCCGGCAGTCAGCACGACGATATTGAGAGCAGCCTTCTCCTCCCCAGCTGTGTACTTGTCGCAGTACCATTTGAGGAGGCTGCCGAGCCTGGCGCCCATGTTGCACTTCCCAGCCGGCTTGACGCTGTCAAAGATGCTGCCAACCTGTTTTCCTTTGCTTGTCAAGAGCATGTTGCCCACGAAACCGCCGATGTGCGTGTAGCCCGACTTGCGGATGGACTGGAGGCCGGGCAATTTGGCCAGGACACCGCCCGGTCGGTGATTGACAAAGTACAGATCGACTCCGTCTGGATCATGCTTGGCGCAGATGGGTGCAATGCGCTCTATCAGTGTCTTGATCTCTGGCCAGTAGGGCTGCATAGCTTCTGAGTCGTCCACAAGGAACATGGTATCAAAACATCGCAGCTGCAAGAGGGTCTTCTCGAACTCGGTGTCATCCATGGCTGTTTGAGACTGGGAGGGTGACATAGTGGTTGCGGCTGGTTGTTCTGGGATAGGTTGGGAAGCTTGACTGTGATGAGAAAGAACTTTGATAGTAACTTGATGGCTAATTAATAGGGAATCTTGGAAAAGACTGCAAAATGGTCTTAAGGCGGTGAAGACATAAATGACGACTGATGTGGAGAACGGACAAGGATGTCTTAAATGCCCCACGTACAAAAGAGAAACACCGTGCCTAAGAACATTCCTGGAAGCAAAGAACTATATAAAAACACAGACCGGTTAATATAACTTTCTGTAAAGGGTGTAATATAATAGCTAGCTGCGTAGAATGACATTCTGCTCAACGCGCCAGTAGGAGCCTATTAGGTTAAAGATTAGGATATACCAGGGTTCTGATCCCTTCTCCATAATACTATTATTTTCAGAGATGCATGTATTGGGATTATTACCAGGAGCTGTTAATTCTTCTTTCCTCCTTTGCAATAGCTTTTTTTATCAATAATAAATAACTTTCTAATGTAACTGCCATCTCTAGACGATTCTTAGCAGCCTTATCTCTTTGTGCTCCTACAGAGGCATCAAATCCTTTCCTAAGCGGCTCCATTATCTCAAGGGGTATATACTTAATAGTTAGGGTTATACCAATAACATCCCCTCCGCAAACTGAAGCATCGTCTTCCACTGCCTGAAGCCACTGCCACTTAGCCCCAGAAGCCGATATCGACGGCGTATGTACAGGTAATTACACCCCGGGTGATCCTTCTCCCCCATTACTCTCAATCTGGATGCTAAATATCCCTACCTCTGACAAGACAGGATCAGAGCCTCTTGCACCTATCAGAGTCGGCCCCGAACGCACTATGACGTTGAGTTTGCGGAGATCCCGGTCGATGGCGGCTTTGTCTAACTGGGCCTTCACAGCAGGCAGAATACCTGAGCGAATATTGACTGGGAGAAATGGATCTATTAGCACTGCGACTGCTGAGGAAAGGAGAGCTTCTGCCTTTCTATCATGGTAAGCTTTGGCTTCGGTCTGGATGTTAAGAGAAGGATCGAAGACAGTTGGTTCAGGGAGCAGAGATGGGTGGCTTGGGCTCACTGTTAGTGGTGGTGCGTTGGAAGTGTGCTGAAGGTGTATACAGGACGTGTCGTTACTTTGACTGTAGTCTGTGACAAGGGTCCAGGCACTGCCGCCTGAGTTAGACTCTGTAGATAAGAAATACCTAATTAATCCATCTTTATCGCCAAGCATGTCACTAAGCTTAATGCTAAATTTATATTAAGTAAGTTTAGAATTACTCTTAAACTTATAAGCTTAGTAAGTATTATTATCTTTACCTGTTTTATACTATAGTAAGTTATTTTCTATATAGTTAGTATAAGCTTAACTTCTTATTAGTAGTATTAAAAGCTTAATCCTAAGGCCTAGGTTTATAAAAGTAATAAACTAATTAATAAAAATAGATAATAGTATTATAAATTACTATATAAATACTATAATCCCTAGTTTAAACTACTGCTTCTTTACTAATATTACCTTATCTGTTCTTAGACAAAAGGTCGGTTGGTTACGTGCTTTAGCACGTGCATTTAATTAATAGAGGTCAATTTAACTTTCGCTAACTAACTTACATAAAAGTTAACCCAATTCCTTTAATTCTAACTTTAACAGAACCTTCAGTTTAACCCCGCTATTACCCTGCGTTTATCCCAGAACTCTGTTCGCAGACATGCTATTCTTTTACTCTTATAATCTTAGACTATAACTAGCCTGGTCTTATAACTTAGTTATTAATTTAAGAGCATTACCCCTGCTATATTAA